AGTGTGAAGAACTCAGATCAAGGGCCCTTACTACAACATCAAAACTACAGCACCTAGATGATGCAATTAACCCAGCTTATCTAAACATCCTGTGTTCATTCAAATTTCAATCAAAGGACTTCAACAGATTAATTGAATGATGACACAAGTTTTGCTACAGTATGCAGCACTGGGACTGTCACTAATAACCTACCAGCCTTTGCAACAATTCCCTCTTCCACTGCTTTGTCCACAGGACTGTGTAGGGGTGTCTCAGTAGTCTTTAAAGCTAGAATCAAGAAGTTCCACACTCTAATTCTCTGGGGTTATCATACTGCATTATCACACGTCCATTACCTACTACAACGCAAATGTATCTTCTGCAAATGGAACCTGACCTGCCACTGAGCAGAGATCCTGAGATCCTAGACTAGCCGTGACCCTTGGCCACTAGGCAGCAAACCTTGTGGGCTGTGCATAGAACCTGTGATGAAACTGTTCAATACCTCAGAAAGGAGCCCACTTTAAAACACTCAGGAAAAAGCAAAAGGACTTAAACAGACAAAGGGTGCCATGAGGCAGTCTCATCCAACTTGCATTTTGATGAAACTACATTTTCAAGGGAAGAAGCCATCCCACGCCTCTGACTCCCCAGCACAATGGGTGTCACTGTCTACGTCGCTGAACAGTTTGCCTCCGCTAAGAGAAGGGAAAACTGTTCCTTCAGGAGTCGTTGGATTGAGCAGTCACTCCCAAATGCTTCGGGGTCCCTCAATTCTCCAATAGGAAAACTCAGAATGATCCAGAACTAGTCCAGTTAGACAAGTTCAAAGGTCCGTTTTATGAATGAGTTAATTCAACAAAAAAGCTAGGAGAACCACATCTTGCATTACTGCCAAAAGGGCTGTCCAGTGAACTTGTGGTATTTCTATTGTGTCTAACACAGCTCTAGCTGAGGCCACTCGCTCCCTCCTCAGTCGAGCTGACTTAGCAATCCCCAGCCAGCCCACAAAAAATTGCCTGGGCAGGCAACCCCTGCAGACCAAACACAAGGTCCAGCAAACACAGCCCTGCAGGACACAATGCCATGTGTTTTAATCCAGTAATACAGCCCTCGTTCAACTACCAACAGTAGCTGGAAATCTGGCCTAGCTCCAGTACCAACTGCAAAACCCCCTAAGAAATACTGAGCCACAGTTCACAAAACTGTGCATCCAGAAACCAATGCTGCATGCCACCACAGGTACCTCGGAGGGCAGTCTATGAGCTGACCTTTGAGAATGGCTTTTTCTTTGCAAAGCATCAGCTTGTTCCACGTGCACCCTAACCTGGGTGAAGTGGAGCATCCACTGCCCTGAGCTGACATAAACTAAATCACTATTTTTATGTCGAAGTCTTTCATATCCTTGCAAAGGAAAACAGTGTTCTTTGAACTATGTAATAGAAAGTGTTATGCAGTGATTAAATAATTTAAAGGAGAAACTCAAACTTTTGCACACTAATCATACAAAAGCCAACAAAAAAGTTAAACTCACGTGGAAGTATTTATTTGTACAGATTCCAATAAAATGTACAGCTAATCTTCACTGACTAACTTCAATTACATTAAATGTCCACAACTCATTTTAATACTTAATGAGTTTATTGTTCTATTTTATAGCGTATAATTAGTATTCAGAAACCATGCTATTGAGCAGCACGTTTGTTCCATCTGCCTGTAAGAATCAGAAGAATCCTTCAGTAGGAGCTCTCTACTTATGAGCAACAGACATTAATGCAGCATATAAACATGTATTAGAAGTTAATAAATTAGAATATCCTAATACACAGGTCAGAACAAACACAGGGTTTCATAACTTTTGGTAGCTGTTTAACACTTACAATCAAAACAGCATTTCAGTATTCAAAAATATTTAAGCACTGAGACTGAGCGCCTCCAATAGTTAAAATGTCAGTTAAAGCTACTTGATTCTATGCTGATGGCCAAAACTAAACATCCCTTCATGCTTCTGAGGGTTTATTTATTTTCTTAAGTTGGAAAATCTCCTACATATCCTGGCAAGTCCAGGCTGTCCCCACTTCTTTAGTTATCAAAACTAACCTTTTCTGGAGCCACAACACAAAATGGATGACAGGATATCAGATTTTAAAAGACCATCAGAAGGAAAAGGTGTTTCTTGATTCTGTTTTTTTTCTAAATTGATCGTTTTAGTGATACTTTAGAACAGCTGTATCAGAGCACCTGTGAGCGCAATGAAAAGACAGATGGAGATGTACAGATACCTCCTAAACCAGCTTTATTCTCAGTGAAATGCTTGTCTAACAGTGCTATTAATCTAGCTACTTGTATTGGGAACTGCAAGACAATGCTAAGAAATAAAACCTCAGTACATTTAAAGAATGTCTTACCTCCACTGGTAAACGCTCCATTTTAGTATGTTAATTAACCAGTCTTCCAGTTCTTCACTATTGCTGTCAAAAACATACTGCTTGAACTAAAAAACAAACAAACAAAAAAATGTTTTACTAAGAGCAATATCTCTAGAACTTTTCAGCACTCACGTTCTTTAGTCTCTTTTCCTGTGTCCTGTAACAGCCCCTATCATGTCCTCTCCAACAATCGTACACATACCACTTACCAGCATTCTCCAACCTGCCCTCAGTTCCTGCACTTGCTTTCTGCAAGTGTAGCGGTCTGACACCAATTTTTCCACAATGAAGTAAAAAAATAAAACTTCTCAAGAAGCCCACGCTCTAGCAAAGCTGACTTGCCACGTTCAGTCAAACTATCCCCGTCTTCACCAAGGAATTCTAAAATCCAGAGGACTGGTAAGCCCCCAGCTGCCCCACAGCCTCCCCAATCTCCAGAGAGATACTCAGTTCAACAGCAGCAACATAGCATTGAGAAGGTAGGAGGATATTCTGGCCTGAGTTGTCAAATAAAGCTCATGCCCCTCCCCAGTCCTACATAGCTACCAGGGAGGAGATGACGTACAAGAAGAGATCAGATGAAATTCTCCTGGTAAATCTCATGTCCCTTCTCCTGAGGAGACAAAATTCAAGGGACGAGGAAGAGAGCCCTCAGACCAAGAACCCACTTTCTTAGAGCAAACATAGGTCAATGCTACATAATATTCTGAACCTTTTCTTGAAGCTCCTGTTAAACCACTACCTTAAATCTGTTAAGAATCAGTCTCTCTCCCCTGTATTCTTAAAACATTAGGGTATTTTAAAAAAAAATCCTAAAAAAAGACAAGATCCTCCCTTTTATCTGAGGACCCATACACTTAGGACACAAAGAGAAAAGAAAACTTAGTTAGCCCTTGTTAGAGGAACTTTGTCTTTTCTGTAGGTATGTTTACGAGAAACACAAAACCTATCACAGCTCCTGCAGGCAAGCTGCGAAACTGAATACTTTTGCCTTAGCTTTAGAGAGCAGAAAACATAGAAAGCAGAGCACAGAAAAACACATTATCTGAACTTTTTAAAAATAGAAATCACCTGTGCATGTCAAATGTAATATTGCATCTTTGATAACACAAATTATCAGTAATGCCCCAGTAAAATCCTGATACCATAACACCGCATCAAAACGGCACCAACATGTATTCCATTTGTTTAACCGTGCAATACAACCTGTGTTATACCAGTTCTCTTTTAA